CCCCCGAAAACACGACGCCCTGGGTGGTGAACCCGCTCACATGGATCAACATCAATTACTTTTGGTATTCATTTGAAATACCGAGAAAATTACTTCTGGAGAAGTTTCTGATTGTCTGTGAGTTACAGTCAGAACCGAGGCTCGAGCCCAAGATGTTCTCAAGAAAACTAGGAAATAACTTATTAAATCAATAAATACATTCTATAATTTTTACAATTCCAATATCAATATGCAACAATATTATATAGTGGTAATCAGAATCGGCTTTATTTGGCAAGGGTTTTAATGTTCATTTTCAACCACAAAACAGCTGTAATACTAATAGCTACAACATGTGTGACATGTTGAATTGTTAGATAAGCATATTTTTATAAATTAGAATAAAAAAATGCGTCTGGAAAATTCCTTCATTTGTGAACTGGTCCAGAAAGACGTCAGTAACTGCAGTCGCTCCGACAGACTCCAGGCTCACAGAACCTCTGGGAGAAATTATTAACAGACTGTGCAGCTTTGCCAACTCAGACAAATATGAGACGCCTCCCGGAGGCCAGGAAGCGAGTGATGAAGGTAGCTTTCATGAAGCACTCTGATGTATTTCTACTTAAAATCTGCAGCCTCAGTGGTACTGGTAATCTGCAAACTTTCAAAAGAAACAAACAAAAAACATAAGAAATCAGAAGAGAGATGTGACGCCATCAGAAGCGCAGCATTTGTCAGATTGCTGAAATTCACATCAGAGTGACTCACGAAAGTCAACCCTCACTCCTGACTCTTGTTTGTCTTCCTGCAAGAGTTCAGTTCCCGTTTCTGCGGCTGCCACAAACATTCCTGTAACGGCAACACGCTGCAACATCAGCGGATTAAAAATAGAGTCTGAAGATGATTACCATAAATGCCTCGAGCTAATTTACCGTGAGAAGCCCTCGCCATGTGCAACATCAACTGTGAGAGGTGTGTGACTTGCCTTACAGTAATGAAGCCAAAGTCCTGATGGGAATCCAACAGGTCAAATCGGTTCAGCCGCAATGCAATTAATGACAACTGGAAATGACTGTAGAAAGTGTTTATTTGTTTCATAAGCTCAATGCACCTACTTTCATCCAATTGGATCGAATCACAAAATCTCATTCTGACCCAGAAAATGTACTGAGAAAAAGCATGTGATGAGACGCAGGCTCCGTTGGAGCCTCAACGTTTTACAGGGCCGCATTTAGAAGAGTAAGGGCCACCGGGTTAGAGCCGGTCATGGTGCCACTTCCTTGGGGGGAGGAAGGTGTTTCACTCATGCAAATTAATCAATATGTCGGCCTTTACATCAGCAGTTGGTTTGAAATGTCCTGTGTGACCGGCTAACTGATTCTTTTAGTTTTTTGTAGACGCTAGCCGCAAAAAGGCTGCTGGGAGCCTTTTTGCGGTGGAAGCATATTTCAGATTAATTATTTTTGCTCTTCTGCACTGGAGCCAGAATGTGCAGAGGCACAAACCGGTGCAGCTCTCATTAGGAAACATTCTGATGTGAAATTCCCTCCTCCGTTTCATTTAAATATAAATCTGAAACAGAACCAGCTCCAGCGCTAGCACCTTCACCTAGAGAAGGTTTGTGAGATGCAGTGTGACATTCTCTCGCCACAAACCCAGACCTATATACATATTTTTTTGTCCGTGTGTGTGTGTGTGTGTTTTAAGAGCCCTTCTTCTCAGAGGGCAGGTGTGCCTGCTTTCACTCATGTGCGGTCTGTCTGTGTGTTTTTTTTTCTTCCTGCATCAACTCATCTCACCAGACTTTTTCTTAACCAGAACCTCAGAACAAAAATGTTTTCCATGATGCAGCTGCAGCGCCTGACCAATAAAACATAAAGAAGACTTGAACTCTCGAAGTTTCGACCTGCCCTGTTCTGCACGAGAAACGCAGCAAACTTTAACACAAGCCGATGTTTGAACCTTTCTTCCCCACAGACGACACGTAAAGAGCTTTTTTTTTTTCTTGCAGCTTGCAGACGCCCTGTTCTGTTTAATGCAAACAAAATAACAGTGACATAAACATGTTATCCTTTTTCACCTTTCGCACCAGTTTTCTTCACCACAAACCTCACTGTGTTTTACTGGAAATATTCCCTGACAGACCAGCACAAAGCACAGCAAAGCTGTGAAACTGAAGGAAAATCTGACGTGATTTTCAGATCCTTTGCAAACCTGAAGCGTGCTACATCCACTTGCATTTTCAGCTCCTTTCACTTTGACTCCGGTAAATACATCCCAGTGCAACCAGCTGCCCTGAGAAGTTGCCTCAACAGCAGAGAGAGTCCACTGATCTCAGTATAATCCAAGCGATGAACAAGCAGTGTGTGGGATGGGCACGGCTGGCTAAACAGTTAGCTGCGCCAACCCTGAACCCACTAATCACAAACATTCACAAATGTTAAAACCCTGTGCAGACATGGTGCTTTAGGGAAAGCTCGGGCTAAATGTTGATGCCATCCTGGTCAATCCTAAACACACAACCAGAGCTACAGTCAAAGGAAATCCATGTTCAAGAATGGCCCAGTCACAGTTTAGACCTAAATTTAATTGAAAATAGAATAGAACTGAGAATCAATGTGAGCTTGATGTGTTTTTGCAACAAAAAAAACAACAAAAAAAAAACTTCTCTTCTGATGCACAAAAGTGACATATGGAGACATCTAAGTCCCCAAACACCGACAGCTGCAATTTGATGTTTTCTAGAAAGTATTGATTCAACATTAATGCATGACACACACACACACAAGATTTGTAAAACACAAACACGAAACTCTTCACCGGCTTCACATTTGTGGTCTCCCATCACATGATCCCCAAAAACACTCCAGGAAGTTTTGCAGCCGTTGAGCAGCAAGACGCGGAAAGCTGATGCCGTGCGTTGTCTTTTGCAACGCACCGTAGAGTCCAAACTTCTGTCGACACAGCAGACTTTCCCTCTGGCGTAACCCGAGAAACTCATCTTAGGACATTTTTTGGTCACACGTTCTCAGGTTTGTTTTGTTTAGGTCGAAATGGATTCCTGTACCCCGTCGATCAGCGGCCACTTCTCGCTCGGCTGAGCAGCCTGGCAAACCGCTTCTGAACGCCAGAGAAGAGTCTGATTTGGAAACGACACACAGCTGAACACCAAAGTCGGCTTTTAAATCTGGTCCTTTGAGTTTTGGCTGTTTGATGAAACATTACCATTTGAAATGTGATTTTTTTTTTAAATTTATGTATTTTTTAATATTTTTGACTTGTAGTGAAAACATCAGTTTGGTTGTTAACGTGAAAACTCACAAATGGAAACATGAAAGAAATAAGTTTTTTAAAAATTATTATTATTATTTCCTAATGAAGTTGTTAAAGTTTAGAGGAACTTTAAACTGACGCAACCAGCTCATAAAATGCCTTTTGGAAGAAAAATGTCAACAATGTGCAGTGAGCTATGACCACTGCATGCGGCTGATGTCAGCCTCGCGGCATAATGTGCAGAAGCGGAACCAGAACGATGTTCCCCTGAATATGTTTATTATACAGCAGCAGGCAAAAGATGAAAAGGCTTCAAATAAATTTATCTTCCCCGTGAGTGACGTAATCCCAGGAAAATTTGCTAAATCAAATGAGAAATTGAAGAGTATGACTCAAAAGAGTTGGTATCTGGTGATAAGACACGATTGTTTTCACCGTTATTACAAACCCTTCAACGTAAATATATTTTCATATTGCATCGTTTATTGGAACAAGTAGATTTCCTCTGAACTTTCCGTTTAATCAACCAATTTATGTTTAAAAACAAAACTCTCCCAAAGGTTTGGAGACAAAGGGTGGAGTCTTGAGCTCACCCTGCGTCCCCCGATAGAAAAGGCCTTTTCTGCCCTACCGTCACAAATGTAAACGTCTCAAATTCATTTTTGCTCAGAAGAGGCCAAGATTTAGCTTTTCAGCGTGCGTCTGACGCAAAGCAGAGCGCGTCACCGAAAGCTCTCCGTGTTCATGCTGACGCAAGGCAGAAGACCTGTGACGCTGCGGGTCTGTTTTCTTGCAGCAGGTGAAAGGAAGCTGAACTCTTTCTGAGAACGGAGGATGTGCAACGACTTGCATGGCAACTGGTCCAATAAAACCAAACGGGTCAGATCAACGCGAAATCGTCCCCCTAGTTGATCTGGATTGCATGGCGTTTCATTATTATTATATTTGGAAAAATCCTTCTCCCTGCCTTGGAGTTTCATCCAGCTCGTCATTCCATCTGATAACCAACCTGCACAGCGAGTTCAAACCCATCACTTTATCTCTTCTGCTGATGGATAGATGTCTGCCCTCTTTGTCCCACGCATTACCTAAGCGTAAAGTCTTGGAATAAAAAGAGAGAGAGAAAAATCCCACTCTTTCTCATCATGTCTAATATCCACCCACGCGCACGCCGCGCTTCCCATTAATAGAAAATTCCTTGAAGCGTCTCTCTGTGGTGTTGGGGCCCCCTGTAGAGTAGAGAGGACCCCCTCCATTTATTTATTTTATTTTTATTTTATTTTTTTCTTGACTGTATAGGAATGTAGCCTGGTAATAAATACATAATAATGATGATGATGACAATAAAACACCCTGGGGTGATGCTTTTCCTATCTTTTCCTTTCGGTTTCCACGACACGCGCTCTCCTCTCTGAGTCGCACTTGCGCAACAGAGAGGAGAGCCGCGGAAAGTCGAGTTTTCGCACCTCCAGTGAGAGAAAGAGCCGCTGAGAAAGCAGGGAGGGCAGACAGTTAGCGCGCATGTGTGTGTGTGTGTGTGTGTGTGTGTGTGTGTGTGTGTGTGTGTGTGTGTGTGTGTGTGTGTGTGTGTGTGTGTGTGTGTGTGTGTGTGCGTGCGTGCGAGTGTGGAGGCGGGGAGGGAAACCCATGACTTCCGTATTTTTTTTCCTCTGTCTGAAAGCGTGCTCTGGAAAGGGCCCTATAAATGACCCTGTCATGGAGCTCAGAGCGCCACACTGAACCAGACAGCAGCGCTGAGCTGAGCTGAGACACAGAGCGGACTAAAACTCCCAGGAAGGCGACTGACCCATCAGCCGGAGGACTGTCTTTGACTTCCTTTTTACTTATCCCGATCCATAACTTGCATTTGGCACCTTGGAGCGTTTCGCGCCGCAACACAACCTCGCCGGGAAACAGACGGGACCGATGGAGCAGAGCGGCAGCCAAGCGGACGCGGAGTCTCTCCAGAAAAGCGTCGGGCGGCGCCGGAGCCTCGTGGATTTCCTCCTCGGCATGTCCGTGGTGATTCTGTTCGTGGCGGTGACGGCTCTGGCCGTGGGCGGGATGCTGGTGGTGAAGGAGCTGCGCTCCGAGCTGCGTGACCCCGCGCCTGGAAGCGCCCGCCTGGTGGACAGCGGGTCCACCTCTCCTTCTGCGTACAAGGTAGGCCGCGTTTCGGTTCGACCCTGGAACGACTCGGTTTGTGCTTCCATCGTCTCTGATTGTTTTCTGACTCGTGTCCTTTTCTATGTTTTTTTCATTTCTCAACAGGTGCACAATTTTGCTTACTTGAAAGCCACGGAAAGTGAGTATTTACTTTTATTTGCTCTAATTTCTACAAAGCTGTTGCTTTTATTTTTTGAATGAACTCGTCCAAAATTAACTCAACAAAGCAGCAATAACTACTTCAAGTCTTAATTCACTGTGTTAAAGCGCCACAGCCCAATGAAATAAATAAATAGTATGGTGGAGTGAGTGCAAAATATGATATAAAATAATGATAGATTTTACATAGAAACAATACAATTCTTTCTATGTAAGGGTCAAAAGCACTGCATCTGAATAAATAAATGTACATGAAACTGAGATGAATTCCTTAAAAAATAGAAAATTACGTCAATATGTCAGTTTGTTAATTGCAAAATATTATAATGTTCGTCATGCAATGAAATTAGATTGAAATTCAGATTTTTGGGGGGTAAATATGGAGCACGAAGTGGGACAATAATGATAAATGAAGAGGTTTATTCGTCTAAATACTCATTTTCAGTGCGTTCAGTTTGTGTAGGCAGGATGGTCGGTCTGCACTGCTGTGCAAATCAGCCAATCAGAGGTGCTGCAGCACATTAAGAATAAAATGTTTGTGCATAATTTCAGCATGAACTGAATGAAAAGGAAATTTGTTAAATGATTCTCACTCTGACTTTATTGTATTGACTCGTTTTACTACCAGATTTTAAAAAAAAAAAACAACCAAAAACATTTGTTTAATGTATTGATTACACCTGTTTTTTTTTAATTGTTGATGTTATATGCTCTTGCATACAGAAAAATGCATTTTATAAATATATTTTGGGACTTTTGGCCCTCAGTCCCCTTTTCCCCTCTCATTTTTAAAGCATGGACCTCTAAAGGGTGTTTTTCTTCTGCATCTAAAATGTAAAAAATTGTAGGTTGATATGCACTTGCCAACCCTACATCTTCTAACCCTCCATGTGTTCGTCTTCTCTCAGGTAAATTGGACAACACTACCATGTCTTGGGGCGTTGTCGATTCCGTTGAAGGGAAGTCGGTTGGGAGCAACTTCGAGTACGACCCATTGAAGCGATCTTTGACGCCATCGAAGAGGGGGGTCTACTTCATGTACATCCAGGTCACTGTCAACTGCACACACAAATGCCACGCGGGCGTCCTCAAGCTGGAGGTGGGCAACAAGCTGACCTGCCACGTGGAGCTCACAGACGACGTGGAGAAATTGCCCGTGAGCAAAAAGTGCTGGACGGTGACCGAGCTGAAGAACGAAGACCTGATCGCTCAGATGACTGTACCGAAGAATGTACCTCACAACTGGATTTTGGACACAGAGACATCGGGCCTCGGGCTGTTTCTCGTAGAGTGACGATGCGTGGAAGACAACGGGACCCTGACCCTGTGGGGGGGTCGTGACACAAACACCAGCGAGTTCTTTGTCTAAGCTCAGGAAGGTGGAAACGTGCCGGTACCGGTACCGGTACCACTCAAGAGTTGAGTGGGACCAAAAAGTCTCTGCAAGGACTGAAGTCTCAGGAGAAACATCACTCACCTGTCCCCGAAAAAAAAAAACAACTCAGTTTTCTGCATCGTCTTGCAGTTTATTTATTTTAAGTTTTATTTATGTATCTATATTTATAACGTTATGGGAATGTATTTCTGCTGTAGATGCCACTACATTTATGTTGACGTGCAATGCATTGTTACCGCACTGACTTGGTTCAGTCTTGAACTCGGGGAGCTGGATGTTGCTTCACAGAAGAAGAAAAAAAGCAAAAACGGCAACACATCGCCAAGAAGACAAAGTTCTGCAATCGCGACCGGCGGTCGCGGACGAGACGCTTTCCATGTGGAAACTCACGAGCCGGGAAAACGTTCCGCTTGTGAGACACAATGTAAGTCCTATGGACGAAACTATTCAAACGTGAATGTATTTGGTTGAAATCCATGTCAAACATGGATATAATGTTGTTAACTTTATTGCAAACATGAATGAATAAATAAAAATCCAAACTCAAAGTCATGTCTGCAGCGTTTCGAGTGGATTTGATGAAGCTTTATTTAGGTGAGGGAAAGTTCCCCGGTGTCACGGAGGCTGTAGCGGGAACTGGACGCACACATCACATCCTGTTTGTTGATTGCAGCGAGCGGTTTTGAAAAAAAAAAGAAGAAGAAGAAAACCTGTGGGCCAGCAAGCGTACACACTTTTTTTTTTTTTCTACACCTCCTGTGTTGTCGATGTCAAGCTAAAAATTTCCGGCCACAAGATATGAGAAATTCGCTCTTAATTTAGCCGGCGCAGGCAAAAACAAAAATAATTGCTGTGTTGCTTCCTATGAGGAGGCAAAAAATGCCTCTTGAAGGATTTGAAACGTCTGATGGATTTATTGCATTTAAAGGGAGCTGACTGCAGTGCTTCAGTTTTGCCATGAATTCGCTTTATGGCCCCAATTCATCATCAATACCAAAACTCTGATTGGCTTATTGAGTAACTTGGTTTAATCTGAAGCACAAATAGCTTCACTTTCCACAGAGTTTTTCGAGAATGGCATTCCTTAAAATATTTAATTTGAAATTTTGTGTCTTCATAAACTCATTTTAAAAAGTTCAGTTTAGGAATCCCTGTTGAAGAATAAAACTAAGAAAAGCAAGCCTAAAAAAATACTAATCAAAAACATCAAAAACCACAGACTTCTTGCTCCCTGACAGAATGAAACTGTTTCTCTGTGAAACAAGCCGATCGGCACCCTAAAGGTTTTGAAGTGTTTGTTTTTATTCTGAAGAAGTGGATTACATGCTATAGTCTAATTAGAGATTTCTTGACTTAATGGTTGTTTTAAAGTCCGGCATCAGGTCTAGATGCTTCTTTGGTAGCACACAGCTGACTCAAACGGTCCAATGAACTCATTAACAGCACAGGCCTGCTAACAAACCATCATTTGTGTGATGAACCGGGGAGACGGCTAAGATCTGCAGGACTCTGACCTTTTGAACTCCACTGGAATGAGGCGATGAAACGGGAAACGTTTGCCGCCCAACACCCCTCAAAGGTCAAGGAAAAGTTCTAGCTTGGTCCAACTCACATGCTGTAAGATTGTCCACTGACTCATGGCATGATGACCAGCAGGGGTCATCATGGTGGTCATCATGGTGGTCATCATGGTGGTCATCATGGTGGTCGCTTGGGACCGGACGGTGGTGGAGGTTTTGATTTCCTTCGCTTTGGATTCCGGAGCAGGTCAATGCAAAACGTTTCTAAAGACATTAATGGTACGAGGATTAAACACAAACTTGGCGTCTCGCAGAGAAAATGATTATCCGAAGCACAGCGAACAGGCTGCCGGACTGGCCTGTTTTGGCGAAACCAAGGACAATCCGTTAAAAACAGACTTTTGAACAAAGACATGCAGCAATGTGCGGGGAAAATGAGGGAGAAAATGCTTGTCATGACAAGAAAGATGATGTATTTGACCACGCAGAAAAATGTACAAATCAAGGCTCATCTTACATTGTAAAGATTGTCACTGTATGCACTGAAGGTGTGTGGTTGACATATGGAGCCAAAAACGGCTCAATGCATTTCAATTTTGTCAGTCAAAAATCAAACCAACCCCAGGAAACACAACATTACCAAATTTGGACTTCCTTCACGACACAGGAGAGACAAAGATTGTGCAGAAACTGAATGTGCATTACTTAATTTTTTTGTCCTTTTACTATTACCAAAAAAAAAAACAAAAAACAAAAACACATTGATCATTTTGAGAAAATCTAAGTGTTAAAACTGATCTCTGCAGCTGTGGTGGGAATAAATGCAAAGGGTTTTAGTAAGTGAAGGGTCAGAATCAAAACCTGAGAGCAGAAATTAAACAAAATGCCACAAGACACGTCACCAAAAGACGCAGGACGCATTTTACCGATTTGATGCGTTGAACTAAAAACAAAAAACAAAAAAAAAGATCATAATTTAACCAGCTAAATAAACTGGCTCCTCGTTGTCTAAAAGTGTCAGATGCGAAACAGCGAAGCAATGGGAAGCTGTTCTTTCCCTTTCTGAAAACAAAGAAAAAGTTTTTAAAAAAAAGTTTCAAAGAGTCGAACTTCAGCATCCTCTGAGATTACCAGCGTGCTGAGCTCAAAGGAGCGCTGCCTCAGTTTCTCCCTCGGCACTTGGCTGATGAACCCACAGCCTCGCCGTTCTGAGTCACTCCCTGCGTCGCTGTTCACAGGTAGCGTCGCTGTTCACAGGTAGCTGCTTTCACACCAGAACTGCAAACAGGCTGCAGGCAGAAACCCGGTGAACCCGGCGGGAGTTCTGACAGTAAGCGCTGCACGCAACGTTTAGAGGAAGAGCGACGGCGCAGACGACAAGGTTGCAAATCTCAGACTCGCCAAGTTGTGGTCCACTTTTGAGGCGCATTTTCAGCGTGAAAATGCCTCATGCAAATTTTTGGCGTTCAACATGGAGGCTAACGAGAGGTTTCAGGAAGAAACAGCACACATGATGCACAGCCTGGATTAAGCTCATGCACATACATTTACATTCCTTTTGTCTCCTCCGTGTTTTTGTTTGTTTGTTTGGCTATTTCTATCTAAAATTGCCCATCATTTTCAAATTAGAAATTCACCAGTTCCTTCCCAAATTCCTGCATCCAACAAGATGGAGACGTTTGTGCAGTAAAACACAAAGTGGCTTCAGGTGGTGATGTGGATGCTGCCTGTTTAATCGGTGTAACGCGACAAAGCTCAGCCTTACCTTAAACACCTTTTGCCTTGACGCCACAACACCTGCCCGTACTTCAGCAACGCTTCCATATGGCGCAACACCCACTCTATGGCACCCTGCCTACTGCAGTCTGCCAAATATAAACCCCAACACGCCTCTCTCGAAAGGAAAAGGGCGACAGTGCATTGCAAAAGAATTCACATCCTTTAGACTTTTGCTTGCCCGACGGCCATGTGTTTCTAGATGTGCTCAGGAAGAGGAAAAGGTTGCGTTCTTGTCAAAGTGTTTACATGCAAAATGTCAAGATTTAGGCCCTTCTAGTCTGGCTGAAAGTCGTCATCGGTTGGGTTGAAGTTTGAGGCTATGAAACAGCATCGCACTGAAGATCCGGTCAACGCAAAGACCACGACACAAACTCACCATCGGTCTCGCCAGCTGATGGGAAGATGCATGGAGACAAATACAAAGTGATGCCAGAAGAAAAGCTGTTAGAGATTTTAGGGGAAGTTCAGGAAGTTCTCATCAGATTGAGTTTTTCAGTGGTTGGTCAGGAGTTCAGCGAAACGTCGACTGCAGTACAGGCATGTCTGCTTGTTTGTAGATATCCCCAAAGTTCAACCTGTAGCTTCAGGATGATCGTCTTGCACTGAAAGACAAAGATTCTTCCCAATCGAGCTGTGAAGGCTGATGTTCCTACGTACATCCATCTTGTACAAGTTTGTTCTGCAAGTGACTGTTTACTTACATGCACCAATGCCTTTACTTGTACTAGCTCGTTTTGAAGAATACGGTTGGAAAAGGTCATAAATTCTGATTCTGATTGCAGTGGACCTGCAGCTCTGACGTGGTGCGTTAACACCACAGGTCTGTGACACCTGGTTTGTAAAGAACTGCCTCTCTAAGTGGTTTTAACTCTAAAGACTCCTGATCATTTCTCACAGCAGAGGTTTAAAGCTTGATTATTATAACAAAGAGTGCTTGAAATCAGTTTCTGCAACCAGTGTTGCTTCGATATCTACCAAAGTTGGGCGCATTTTTGTATTTTCGGGGCGGGCTCCAAAAGTATTTTTAGGTCAACGCTGATAATATTTTGCAGAAACCGCTTTTCACCGAATCAGTAAACCTCCTATGAACGTGCACGCTGCGTCGACTAGCAGCACCTTTGCATCAGGTGGTCGCGGTGGTTGTGGTTTATGTTTCTTGTGCTAATTACGGGGTGTCACTGCTGTTTTCACAGTCAGGTTGGGGAAAGACAAGAGTCTTTTATGGTTTGAATATGAAACTCTCCTGTTTCATGTTTGCCAAGTCTCACAGTGCAGAGCAGTGACAGAGCTACTTTTGCATGGAGGCATTTTTTATTTTTTGCATTTGTCAACTTGTTTACTGACTCATTTCTGCGGTTTTGTGCCTTTCTGCAGTCGGCTCTGTGGGATAGTGTGAAAGCATTGGAGCACGCTGCTCTCAGGATGATGGCACAGCTGCATTGCTTTTCTTTCCAGTGTGGTTATCTTTGCGGTAGCAAAGCATGCTCTCGCCCAGGTTTTGCACCACTGTTGACTCGCAGGGCGTCTTCACACCTGATCGTCAGGGACTCGGACCGATCAGGGACCAAGTCTGCAACATTTCTGACATTTTCAGCCGGTGCGGTTCGCTTTCTCACTGCACTGCGTTAAACAAGCCAAGCCATTTGAAAATGCTGTTCCTTTCACATTTGCTTTGGTTGCACTTACCCAGAATGCCCTGCGCTAGAGGCCACCTCCTGCTTTTAGAGCGATATCCCCTTGCTGTTCACATATGCATTTTAAGCACACAAGAGTTCACTTCTACTGAAGTTCACTTCTTACAGATCGTTTAAGCATTTCGTCACATTTCAACAGCAAACATCCACCTCCTGGGATTTTATATGACAAATTGTACAAATGAGAGCAAAATCAGAACCAACCTGCAGTCACAGCCGCTAGTCTTTTCATTTGAGCCTCTACCAGATTTCTGGATCTATGGATCCACTATTCCTTTTGTTCTTTTTGCAGGACAGCTCTCTACCTCCGTCAGATTGAAATGAGAACATCTACGAACATAAATTTCAAACTTCACCACAGATTCAGAGTTGAGATTTGACCTGGACTTTGACTAGGCCATTTGAACACGCGGATATGCTTTGACCTGAGTAACGCCGGAGCTCTGGCTGTACGTTTGGAGGTGAAGAGAAGCATCGTCACCCCGCGATGCTGCCAGCGCCATGTTTCACCTGAGGGACGGTGTTTTCTTCAACGCACAAACGATTCAGCCCAGAAGTTCAATCGGGCCACATATTCGCTGCGTCTTGCGGAAATCTGTGTAGACTTCTTAGGAGTTTCTTTAAAAATGTGTTTTTGTTTTGTTTTTTTGCTTTTGACTTTTCCATACAGGCCAGATTTCTTCCTGCTCTTCAAGATGCTGTTTGTTCACTACTGATCTCTGTTTAATAATTAGTTTATTTCTGCCTGCAGAAATACCATACTTTATATATGCAATGTGCATATACAAAGAATAGTTTGTGTTTTTGTCTGTATAGTCTGGTCGGCGCTGCATGGTTCAAATAAAATGTGTGAAGTGGTAAAGAGTCCAGCATTTGTCATGCAGCCGAACAATAACATGATGCAACAAAAAAATAAATAAAAACACGTGTTGCACATTTAGTCCGGAAAAGTTTTCAAATCAAAGCACTTTGGGCCAAGCATGCACGGTTTCTTGCACAAGAAGCTTTTATGTGTTTGTTTACCAGAGCATCAAAATGTGGAGATGTTTATCGAGCTCTCGCAGCAGGAAATGACCCAAATTTATGTGAAATGCAGAAACCTGGCCGTTCCGCTCACAACAGTCTCTCAGAGGTGACCTGCTCCTTCCACCTGCCGGCTTTTTTTTTTTTTTTTTTTGTCTTTCTTTCTCTTTGTTTCTGTTCAACTTGTTTCCAAGCGTGGAGATTTGCGTTCTGTCTTTCATTTCGCTCTCGCTGTTCTCGACAGAGAACCTTCATCATTGTCAAACTTTCATTTCCAGACTTCTGCATTGTCTGCACCTTTTGCTTTTTTTGTAGTTTTTTTTTCCATCTGAAACTTTACTGCGTTTCTGAAACTCACTTGCTGTGGGAAGAGCTGAGTCAGCAACAAGTAGCACTTTATTTCACTCCTCCTCCTTTCTGCGTCCTTACTCAACCACATCCTGCTCCTCACACACACACACACACACACACACACACACACACAAATACAGTCATGCATACAGACACAAACTCTCCCTCAAGCTGGTTGCACATTTGTACACTTGCAGCCCTATAATGTGGGTTGACTGTGGTTTAAAGTTATCCAAGTTGATTTCAGGTTATCATCTGAACAGAAAAATAAACAATATTTCTATGGCTTGTGTTTACGCTACGAAGAAAGAGAGCCTCTTATCATTTGTTTTGGAGCATGTTTTTATTTAAACACCAAAATATGAAGAATAATTACAATGTAAATATATATATATATATATATATATATATATATATAGATAATCTGAATATCAGATACTTTTATATCAAAACTATTTGTTTTTTTCATTGTTTCCAGAATTACACCCATCAGTTGTGGTATATGTATATCAGACTGGTCAAAGAACTGGCTCAAAGGCATTTCTATTCTTGTCTAAGAGTCTAGCCAGAAGGCACCCAGACAGTTTTCATTGGCCTCAGGAGACAACTTTTCCATTTTGCTCAGAGTGACATAAATTTCATCTCCTTCTTGCAAGAAGAAAATCCCCGACAGAAAACTTCTCCATTTGTCCTCGCCAGCATCACCAGGACTTTTCTCTGGGCTCCAGTTACTGGAAGAAAAACAGAGACAGAGTCAGATTTGGTCACATTTGTGTTGCATTCGGGGGAAGTTTATGCAACGAGAGCAAATGTGGAGAATTGAGGAAAAGCTAAGTTAAAAAAAAAAAAAAGCCTACCTTTTGGACTTCAGAAGCTCTATAGACTCAGCATAGCCACTGGGTTTTCTCTGGATCTTGTGGAAGATAGGCGACGTCGCCTCCGAAACATCCACTACCAGCTTGGAGTAGACGTAGTAGTGGCCTTCCTGATCGATTACCAGTCGGCTGTTGCGGTACTTTATTCTACTTTTGTCGTAATGATCCTGTGATTTCCATTGCACTACCTCGCCGTTCGACTTCTGAGCTCCTGAAACACAACGTTCGTACGTCACAAAACTGAAACGGAAAACTGAAATAATGTTTTACTGGACTAAGTTCAACTGTTGACACGTTCCAAAACGATTCTTGAAGAGACAAAGCAAAGAGCGTGTTGCTTCCTCAGCACGAAATTATGTTTAAAAAGAAAACGAAAACAAAATAAAATGTTTAAAAAGTGAAACATGATCTGATGACCAAATGTGGTTGAAATCATGACAACATGGGGGTTCTTACCCATCAAGTGAGCAAAGGGCCGTTTCTCTGGCTTCAGAGGAGGAATTTCATTGGAATCTGTTGAGAAAACCAGATGTCATCATTTGTGAAATCAACAAACTAATCAACTAATAACTAATATCTCGATGCTTTCTTTAGAAAAAAAACCAAAACAAAAACACATTAAACATCATTCCCACCTGGAGCTCCTATTTGACTTGATGTCCTCCCATTCTGGAAAAAAAAAAGACACAAAAAAGTTGATTTGTTTAAGCAGAAAAAAAAGAAAAGAGTCAGTGTATGGCAAGTCACAATCTACAAGCACATATATTTACCTGCTGCTCCGTCTTCACAGAACGGGACAAGTTATGGCACATATTATTAGACACACAGCCGGAAAAGGCCTGCAGGGAACGAGAAGGAAAATGAGATTGAGTGAAAATGACGACGAATGACTGAAAGGAGAAATGGTTGCATGTAGGAACAGAAATGCCTGGTGACAGTAAATCATTCTGGAAAGGTGGCTAAAAGTGCAAGCCCTTTTTTTCCTCCTCCTAATTTGGAAAATGGAAAATATTTCCTTTTTTTTTAATTTGTTTCTATTATTATTATTAATATTATGTAAAAAATGGTAAATATAATTACCACGATGAAATTCAAAGAGAAACCCTAGAGACAAAATCAAACCTGACCCTGGTTAACCCTTAGCTCCACAAAGTCACAACTAAATTTAGGTGTCAGTGAATCCAAGAGAGCAAGAAACAAAATAGCCAAAGTGTGATAACAGAATTTATAACACGGCATTAAGAGTAGGGTCAACGCTACATATCTGCAGTTTCTATAGAGAAAGAGAGAAAAAGGAAGTACAAATCAGACGGAAATCTTATGACGCCTTCCTCAGTTTTGACCAGAACTTCACGAGTAAGAGATGACCCGAGCAGAATCTTCTTCTACGCTGCCATGTGACGTAGAAGACGATATGCAAATCGACACGCGGAGGGATTTCCAGGGTCTCCCCTCATTTGAGACGACACGCCAAGAGACACTGTCCTCACCTCGGTTCTTTGGTAAAGCATGTAGATCAAATATCCCTCAACAAAGATTGCCAGCGCGAACAGAGTCAGGAGAAGAGGGAGGAACTTCTGGCCCGCTCTGGCCCAGGTTGACTTCTTGCCACTGGGCACGGATAAGTAGGTGGCCTGGCTGTCCACCACAAACACCTGCGGCGTGGGGGCCAAGCCGTTCTCCGACATCCTGACTGGATCACAATCCACCTGTGCCCCGGAGTAGCTTGGAGAAGAGTTACTGAAAAAGAGAAAAATGGGTCTTAGCCTGGCAGGTGGCCCGAGAGACAAAATGTGAAAGGTGAACGGCAGAAACGAGAGAGTGAAAGGAGCACAAAAGTTACTTAAAGGGTCTAAGTTCACAGGAGACACATGTGGCGCAACCAGATCCTGGAAGCAAAGTGATTTCTTCACATCCTCACTACGACTTTGACAAAGACAGTCATCACCGGTCTGATGAATTAAAAAAAAAAAAAAAAAGAAACGAGGCGTACACATAACTGTACACGGTCCTCCAAGATCTGTAAATGAATATTACCTGAGATGTAGGTGTCCGTCCACAGCTTAGTCAACCATCCAGCTCCTTCTTACTCAGACCTCTGAAGTTTGTTGGCGATCTTGACCGGCAAAGGCATTCAGAGCCAACAAAAAAACAAAACAAAATCGAAAATAACCAATAAATAATACTATAAATCTGTTCTACCAAGAACTATTTTACTTTTCTGTCAGATCTGTCCATCTCTGAAAGGAAAGGTCCTGTCAGTGTTCAAACTTTAATCCTTCCTTCTGTTGTCGTATTTGCTTGCCGGCTGTCAAATGTCACTTATATTGCTTTTGAAGCAAGCTATTGTAAGGAGGAAATGAAGATAACATGGGGAAAAGACATGCAGAGAGCAAGAGAGAGCAAGAGAGAGAGAGAGAGAGAGACCAGTCTGTGTGTTTGTATCTGTAAGGGACACTCCCTGCTGTATATAGCTGTCAACTAAAAACTGACACTTCCCTTTTGCTTTCTGCAGTTTTTTCCCCTTCTCCTCCCTCCCTATCATGTGCACGGTTTTTCTCCGTTTCTTTTTTCTGACTTCGAAACTGCCCCCACTTTGTAAGTTTCTCTTGAACCTGTGATTTTTCTGATGCGTCGGGCGTCTTGTTGTGTTTGAGCTTCACGTTATCAGTTGCCCTGAGGTTGAAGCAGTCACATCCTATCTGTTTGACCGCTACGCATCTCTGCTACCACAGGCTAGCACTATAACCCACATGGCAGCTCACCTCAGTCACCTTGAGCTGACATGTCTGTAAAAACACCTCAAGTTGTCTCGAAGGTTGCGAGACGCTGCTAATTGAACACCTGCATGAAAGTAGACGTGTTGCAAAAGACCAAAGTTGATGATGCAACTTGTCCTCCGTCTTTGGATTTCTACATATAATTACCGTCACTGTCTTGTAGAGGAGTTGCTTCATTTACTTTTCCGCTCTCTTCCTTTTTCCTCTCCGCCAATCACAGTTTTACATGTGATTCGTGTTGGTATTACAGAATGGCCCAGTCAAAGTCCAGAACTAAATACAACTGAAGATCCTGCGACACGACTTGACAACTTGCTTTCGCCTGAACCTAAATATACAAAAGCAAACCAGACTTTTCACATATAAATTTCAAGTCATTATTACTCTTGTTATTGTTATCTATATGCCAGCTTTGGATTATTTAAGCTGTTTAAAGTTTATCATGTGGGTCATGCGTATGGATACTTTTTCAAGGCACTGCTTTCACTTCAACGAGATTTAATCTCTCTCACTGCCAACTTCCTCTTCTTGTGCTCAATATGTGCAAACTAAAAAGATTCTTGAGCATTTTCACAATGTTGATGTAAAATGTATTTTTTTTATGTTAACTATATCCTCCATTTAAGTGAACCTTTTCTCTAGACCTTCTAAGTTTCCTTATTTCTCTCTCTCTCTGTCATTGGAGGGAACAGTTTGACAAGAGAAACTCCATATGGCAAAACCTCCCAATTCACTCTGACTTACTTTCTACCCACACACTGTAACCTCTCACTCAACCGAGACGCGAATACTGTCTGCTTGGTGCAGATGTAGATGCAGAGAGGACTGACGGAAGTTGACATGCCGACCAAATTAGGGGCCCTGCCTGCAGCGCCTGCGGCTTCTTGTCAAGTGGAGGGACAGTAAGAACCAGAAATGCCCTGACACACTCCATGGGGTTAACCTTACTGTAAGGCTGATGGCTCAAAACAAGAGCTCTTAACGTTGGAGGATAGCGGTTTCACACCATTCTTTGCTAAGACTCAAATAATCTTGAGCTGGAAGTTTCCTTCCACTCATCATGGCCGTGAATGGCTGGCCCGTTTTGGGTTTCGAATGTTTAATTTGAGCCGAGGTGTGAGGACTGCATGACACCGTGACTGTTCTTTAGAAACAGTCGTGTTTGTGAAGAACAACCGGGCACACGAATATAAAAAAATCGTGTTTTTACCGCCCATATATTTCTTTTTTTTGTTGTTGTTTATTAAAATCTTCACCATCACCAACGTTTTTCCTTCATCGTTGTGCTTTTGTAAATCGACTGTAGATTTTGTACTCATGAATACAGGGTTAAAATGATAAACTTCAAATTTGCCTGTGCTTGTAGAGAACTTCATCAAGCCCAGAGGACTCCAAAGCTCTTTACGCCACATTTGGTCTTTCACTATTTCACACACACATTCACGCTGTAATAGCTGTAAGCTACAACTATTAGCATGTTATTTTGCCCATCAGTGGGTAAAACATGTATTGGACAAATCACAATTTTACAGTTTAAATATATTTCTAAATATACTAATGGTAACCCATTTTCACCAGGTGTTTCGATCTAAATGACTAACGTTTGGACTATTTTTGGAGTGTCATGACCTATGCCGGTTCAGCAATGATGTCTTTAATCATAAAAATACATTTTGTCATTGAGACGAACATTAAAATTAGACTTACTGTAAGAAACATAAGTGTAAGTGCTTTATTAAGCAGTCGTAGGGGAACAGTTCATCCTGACATACAGGTCTCACCATACTACCTCACATATTAATGACATTTACTTTGAGGTCTACAAATGTCGACTTTACCACATAACATTTTCCGCCACACCAAAAACAAATTCCCCACCATCAACATCAACACGGTTTGTTCTTATTTTTTCATGGCGACTCTTTGAAGAAGTGACAATCTGCTTACTTCCTCTTGGTTCGAAAACGGACACTTGTTTTCACAGCTAGTGGTAATTTCATATGTGATAGAGTGTCAACTTGTTCAGGTTGTGTGTCCATCTCTATACGACTGATGTGACACTGAACAGGACACAATGCGTAGAAGACAAAGGAGTGGAAGATTCGCACTGATTAAATAGCAATTCACAAGAAAATGACACTTTGTTGTTTGATGCGGTGACACTGGACTGACATGACACTGTCATAAACATGACACAATACCTGTCATGAATATGAAGGAGTCTTTATGAACGTCTATGACATTGAAGTGTCATTAGGTAAATAACGATGCTATAACGCAAAGTTGCTTTAAAAGTTGCATTGAAAGTCCATTAAAAGTGCCAGCTTTGCATCAAGGTGTCAATAATGACAAAATAACGCAAAGCTAGCACTTTTAATGAACTTCCAACACCACTTTTAAAGCAACTTTGCATTAAAAGTGACATTATATATCTAATGACACGTCATGACAACAGTCCTAACCATTCATAAAGATGTTATGTCATGTCAATCTCATGCACACCCCTTCAAAAAAAAAAAGTTTTACCAAACGGTTCCAAAAGTATGAGTCTCAAACCATTTAACCCAGTGGTTTCTTCCCCACCCTCTCACATCCAGCTAAATAACATTTCCTATTTCTAAAAGACAAATTCCCCAGGTGATTTCATCCACCTTGGTTCCCCATTTGACCACATTTCTACCCTTTTTAAATTGCTGCTCTCTGACAATGATTTATGTTGTTTGCGTTAAGGTCAGATACATATTTGTTTGGATTGTGGTTCGTGTTTTGTGTGAAAAAAAAAAACATCTCTGTTCCTGAAGGTGTGAAGAAGTTGTTATTGTCTTGGATTTCTTTGTCAGTTTAATTATCACTATGAGGTAAATGACTAAGAACTAAGAAATAATTACTACAAACCTGCTTTGACATTTTCCAACAGAGAAACGTTGATGGCAGACATAGGACTGAAATCAACCTTCCTGCTTTATCTTTTCCTATTTAGTTTTCAGTGAAACTGATTAATAGCTGAGTGAAAAAGAATGTAAAAAAAACTTGCTTTTACCGCCCATGTATTTCTTTTTTTAGTTATATTTATTAAAACCTTCACCACCACCAACGTTCTTCCTTCATCGTTGTGCTTTTGTACGGTTTTTAAGAAAGAAACACACACATTAACCCCTGAGCATTCTCAACATGATCATAACACTTCAGCTTGTTCTTCAGCTTGTCTCCAATGCAAATCTCTCCATCTATTTTATAGTTGAAGGTTGAAAAAGATTCTTGTCTGAAACTTTAAATAGGCAACTTAGTTTGACGTTTCTGACTCCATCAGTTTGTTGAATGTCGCCTCGACTTATTTCATGAGTGACATTACATCTCACAATCGTGGTTGGTCCAGTCATTGGTGGACTTATAATGAAGTCCACCAATGGCTTCATTAGTCCACTAACAAAGTAATTGGTGGATTTCACCAGTGCTTCTTCGCTAATAAAGAAGCACTAGTAGAAGTTTGCTAGTGACACTAAGCAAACCCTGCTTTTTCATTGCAGGTCTGAATAAGCAGGGTCGAGCCTAAGGCCACAAAGTGTCTCCTTCATACTGTTGAAGTGAAAACTGTATGAAGCGCCATTCTGGACCCAAAGTTCAGGCTCTATTGAGTTATCTTGGCTAATTACTCCTGATCAAAGAAATGCTATTTTACAAAAGTGTAGCACAGCCACTGAAACAAAACAAAAAAAATGCAGCTACATCACATTATATAATGTGAAGACTGTACTCTTCTGGCTGTATACATCTCATGAAGACATATAGTTCATACAAAATAAATAAGTTTATTGTTATGTCATGACAGTATTTATATTGTATAAATGTGATCTGTTGTGCAATATATTTCTCAGTACAGTATATTTCTTAAAGACATTTTACATTCAGAAATGCCATCAATTGCTCTGCTTGCAAGCTCAAAAGTTCAGTTTGCTGTAGTCAGGATGACACGTTCATTTTGAATAATGTTTGGCCAATTTTGCCTCCGCCAGACATACCTGTCAATGCCCCCCTCCAGTCTGAATAAAGCACGGTATGTATGATATACTGCAGGGGTGTCAAACTCCAGTCCTCGAGGGCCGCTGTCCTGCAGTTTTTTGATGTGCCACAGGTACAAAACACAGGAATGAAATGGCTCAATTACCTCCTCCTTGTGTAGATAAGTTCTCTAGACCCTTGCTAATGACCTTATTATTCTATTCAGGTGTGGTGCAACAGAGGCACGGCTAAAGGTGGCAGGACACCGGCCCTCGAGGACTGGATGTTGACACCCCTGATATACTGTCTGGGTCATGAATAAAGATCTGTCTGAAGCTTCCCCTGCTTCTCTAATTGAGCAATTTGAAACAAGGTCTCCCTGATTACCTCTGGCTCATTCTTTCTTCTTTACTGAGCCTTGCATTTTAAGTTCCTGTCCACGTAAATAGCAGCAAAATCTCACCATGACTCACCATAAAAAATTCCAGTAAAAGATATTTTTTCTCAGTAGCTTATCTTTGCCGTCATCGACTTTATTAAGTTGCAAGGTAAGCACATTGTATGTTCTAGCAGTAAAATCAGCATTATGTTATAACATGGAAACTTTGCTGTTAAAACAATACACACGTTTGGGCTTGTACAATGTCTTACAATTATATGTCCTTACATTCATACAATATGAATATAAAATTGAAAGAACACAAAATGTTTATACGACATCAAAATATATTTAGTAATAATGCGTGATGTGTTTTATAAAAGTATACTTTTCGTTTGCTCAACACTTCCGCACGACTCCCATGGCTCTCTCTTTAAAATACGTCTTCTCGCTCTGATTGGCTAAGGGCTGCTACGCTTCCCCTTGTGATTGGTCGCAGCCTCCGCCTCTGTCAGCGGGCGTCCGTCCAATCAGAACGTCGCAAAGTTGTTCTGCGGAAGACGGATGCGAGGAAGATGTTTGTAGTCAGATAGCCGAGCGTTTGAGCGAATTGTCGCCGCCATGGAGGCTCTCCGGGGCAGGAGAGGACCGCTTGGCCTGGCTGTGGCCTTCCTGTGCTGCGTGGGCTCCGTGCGGTGCTTTGGGCAGAGCCAAGACAGCGAGTTTACGTTCCTACTTCCAGCCGGAAGGTCCGAGTGTTTCTATCAAACGGCGATAAAGAACGGTACGATGGAGGTCGAATACCAGGTAAACGCTCGGTGGTCAGTGAACACAGCCTCTCTTTGTCCCCACAAACAGCTGCACACACACTGAATTAAAGCTTTAAAACCGATATTCATCAAACACAATATGTATGATTCTTACTCCAGCGTGGACTACAAAGTGTGTATAGTACACACACAGTTTAGTGTGTGTTGCAGGTTCGTTCACAGAAGTAATAGTTTTAAATTCACAAGATGACAAGGGAATAATTATTGCATCCAAGCCTATATGCTATAACACACTCAGCTAAAAGGAAACATTATTGTGGTTGTTGTCCCCAAAATAGTGGAAGTTATATTTGGATGCATCTAATGAATAGATAATAAATAAATAAATAATATAATTTCCAAACACAAATCAGAGCCTCTCAGAGGTAAATTGTTAAATTCATTGGTGCATTAGTAAACAACAAAAAAAAAAAAAAAAAACGGTTTTAATTTGTGTGAAATGATTTCTATTATCCAGGACTCTAAACAAAGATGGAGTCACTCATTTATGTGAAAAGATCACACATTTCTGTTTTGCATAATCCAAATCAGGCCACGAAAGGAAATGATTCATTTTTTACTACTATATATGCAGAAAATTCTCAGCTGTTCAAATATTTTCAGCTTTCCTGCTGGGACAAATGTGTCTTAACCTTCAAACTGTTCCAGCTCCACTGCTGTCAGATTTGGGGGAGGCGTAAATAAGAACGCGTGATGAAAACCACGTCTCATCCGTGAACTCATCCCCGTAAACAGGAAGTCGCTCTTCAGACTGTGTGTTTGCTGAGCGTGGTGACGTCGTCGTTCTCACTGGAGAAAAAGGAACTTGAAAATATTTCACTCGTGCATTTATTTCTCATTTTATTATGTGGTGGTCATTATATCGCAGTGCTTTTCAGTCTTTCTTTCGGCGCATAGCACTAATTCAATACAACTGACACCTAAAACCACTGTACAATATTGCAGTCGGACTGAGACCAAATAATAACGCAATACGATCAAATTCAGTTGATTATTTATTGCCAGTTGGTGAAAGAAAGGTCCGTTTTAAGCATAGTCCTGTAACTAAACAGAGTGTCTACCTCACAGGCTTAAATTGGGAGCTGGTTCCAGATAACTAAAGACCTGCCATCCATTTTACCCACAGAATACCATTTTTGCGTTTTCTTTCTTGCCAGAAAGAAGCAGGGAGACGCCAAACCCAAAAAGTATGTTTAGCCTAGTTTCTAGTGCAAATGTCTTGGCGTACTTGAGATGACAACTAACCTTTCAGCAAGATTTAGGAGCTTGTTTGTGAGTAAATTATTTTTCAATATTGATTTTAAAAAATCCTGGTTCAACTGGCAGATTATTTCACTTATAACAAGACATTTTTCCCATGTTCGAAGTGAAAATATCCACCAGTGGAACTAATACTTTTTCATCAAGATTAAGAAACTGTTGAATTAAAACAAGTTCATATATCTTGTTGAAAAGTGACTTGTAGATTAGTTAACTCTTATTTCAAGTGTGCTAAGATATTTACGCTAGAAAAGAAACAGAATACTCAGTAAGAGTTTGTGTTTGTACCATCCTTGAATGGCTTAAAATTGTTACTGTGTTTGTGAATCTACATTTTTAACAGCACATTCCTGTTGCTTTAGTGTGAATAAAACAGTTCTGCAAAAAAAAAGAAAAAAGAAGTGGAGTCTTCCTACTTGGGCCGTAACGGCGTGTTTGGAGAGCGATCTTCCTGCCACTAGTTGACATTGTCTGTTTGCTCAGTGTGTTGATCGCCTAATGGCACGTTCAAAAGTGAAGGAGGAAAAAAGTTAATAGACACAGTTGAAAGCGTAATTTCTAAATCAGATTGTGACACAAATGTACAGATTTGTCCCAATTGCCTGTTTTGTCTGTACGATCTGCCCAGGTGATAGCAGGAGCCGGGATGGACGTAGACTTCACCATCGTCTCCCCTCAAGGATCCCGCCTGATTATCGAGAATCGCCGTTCTGACGGAGTCCATGTGTGAGCAGCTTTAAATCCTCGATCCGAGTTCTTTTCTCTTTGTTTGTTGTTAATGTTTTTTTTTTTTTCAAATCTGTTTGTCTGCTTCTCTGTTGTCGCAGGGTGGAGCCCATGGAGGAGGGAGACTACGAGATCTGTTTCGACAACGGCTTCAGCCGCTTCTCGGAGAAGATGGTGTTCTTCGAGATCATCATGGAGGGGCAAGGAGGGGACGTGGGAGGAGACGACGAGTTCCCGGGCGTGGAGGAGCCAGACGGGAGCCTGCTGGAATACAAGCTGGACGATATTAGGGTGAGAGAGAAACGGCAGAAGAAGGTCTAGAGTCTAAAATTGCGATGCACGCAGTGTGAGAGAATGCCAGGTGTTCGTAATGTCAAGAAACAAGACAGTAGCAACGTAAACCCTGTAAAATTGAACCAAAAACCAGATGATTTATTGGGAAACGATCGTGAAGGGATGGAAAACATTGACCCACTGCCAAACAAGATACGTTGTCAATCATCAATGAGGCTCAAGTTCAGCTCAGACTCAGAACTTAAAAAAAATATTTTATGTCAGTAGAATGAAATCATTACTGACATTGCCACAGTATTTGTGTAGCTAGTTGGAAAAAAAAAAATAAAACTATATGTAGTCCTGGACACGTTGCAGAAGGCGGCGAAAGAACAACGGAGCGCCGAGTGCAGCTGAACTTTGGACTGCAGCTGTAGAAGGGAAGGTTTTTTAAAAGATGATGTTCTCAATGCGGCAGAGGGAAACTGCAGAAGCAGGTCTCTCCTTCAGCAGCTGCTAGCTAGTTAGCGATTATTGCTATGTGAGTAAACCTTCAGCTGGATGTTTGCACGCTTCAGAATGGTCCGCTTTGTATTTACACTTGTTATTATAGGGTCAGTGCTGCAAACTTTCACATTAAGAGCCTTATATAAAGCAGTATGTTTGCATATCTTTAAAAAGTCTTAAAAACACTAAATTCATGTAATCGTGGCCTCAAAATGTCTTAAATTCATTAAAACATAATTTGGTCTTGAATGCATTGATCCCAGATCTTAATTTTTGTTGTGGTTGGATCAGTTAATCCTGTTCAGATTTCCGTGTTCACACTGGACTGCTCTGTTAGACCGCAGCTTGAGACAGATATCTACACTGCATTGTGTGACTCCAAAGGTTAACTAGCTGCTAATATACTCGTGCTAGCTAGTTAGCGTTTTGGGGTTTTTTTTCCACATCCATCACGGACAAGTGCAGATTTATTTCCAGTTCATCTCTGCCATTGTCTCACTTCTGTTGTTGTAGTAATTGTAAAAATAATCGAATTACTTCCAACACCAAAAGTAACGCAAATATTGATGCTGATCTTCAACTGTTAACTGATGAATTTTACATGTTTATTTCTCACCGTTATTTGTGTGCAGCAGAAGGTGGCAAGAGAATTTTATCTGAGTGTGTTTTTTCTTTTTAGTTTGGACATTTAAATAGTTTTGATTTAGCCATAACATTTTCTTCTTGTCTTTCAATGCAATGCTTTTAGTTAGGGAAAATGATAGATTTGTCATTTCTTCCTCTCTTATTTGATAATGTAATAAACAGTAGGTCAAACATGGTAAAGGTGTAAAAGGTAATTAAATGATTAGTTTCTGCTCTCATTTCCTCACATATTCTCTGTAATTGACCTTTTTCCAGTGTAAGTTTGTGGAAGCGACATATAGAAAAGGCATCAATTTAAATATTATGGCCCCTTGTTGGCAGCACTGGTTACTGGTAGTAGTTCTCATCTGAAAAGGGCAGTTGTTTGTTTTTTTGTTTTTGGGGGTTATTTAAAAATGGAAATAATACATGCCTGATGAATTGTTCCTTTGTCAGGAGAGGGAACAAGTTCGGCTCGCGAGACGCAGAAAGCCTGAGGAAGTGGGAAATTTAGAAAGACGGAGCAACGCAAAGTCGGTTTTTGGTGTTTACGTGAGACCTGCTGACATTCAGGAAAATGTCCTTGTGGCCTTCCGGATGTGGTTAGACGGCCCCCAGTTTATGCTGAACTATTGTATGTAATCTTTAGCTAATGGGAACACGCCTCAGTGGCTGACGAGTGTAATGAATCCTGATCTCAAAGGCATGCTTAGAATGCTATAAAACATTATTAATGCTCAACCTGCTAAAAAATATGACTGATATTAGTCATTTCTAAAGAGGACGTATGTTTGGACTTTGAGTTTATGTTCTCTGAAATGTGTGAGCAGAGTAATTTGTTTGGGGAAGCCCCTCCAGAGGTTAGTTGGCTATCTGTGACTTGGCTTAAGGTCATGTTTTATGAAAAAAAAAAAAAGACTAGACATATATATACATATATACATATATATATATATATATATATATATATATATATATATATATATATATATATATATATATATATATACACACACACAGAGAGAGAGAGAAATGTCATCAGCTATACAAGCAGACTCAGACTGTGCATCCTTAAAAAGACTTAAATTTGTGTGTATAAAATTGAGGCCTTAAAAGCCTTCGTTTCAAAAAGTGATTTGGCCTTTAATATGTTTATCACAGACCTTAAATTTTATCATAACACAATTGTTTGATCTTGTTTATTCGAGTTGTTTTGTTTCTGTTCGTTGCGGGACTTTTCTGTCAGGTTGTGTTTGAGTCGCACTCAGACATCTTCATTGCGTCTTGTCTGAGTCGGGGTGATGGAGGCCACCGCGAACCCGCTGCTAACACACCCTTGTTAGCTAGCGAGCTTTTTTGCATCTATCAAAAAAGTTGGCGTGACGAAGACATTTCCTTTAAGTTATGGGTCTTAAATTGCATTCATGGTGGTCTTAAGAAGTCTTAACCTGCATAAACTTCAGAACCAGGAGACGAGACTCGTCCTTGGCGTAGTTATTCCCTTTCTTTGTTTATCGGTAGTTTGTGTGACTTACACGCCGGCGCTCTCTGCTCGGTTTCCCCTCAGGAGACCATGGACTCTCTGCACAAACGCCTGGAGCGCAGCCGGCAGATGCAGACGGTCTTACGGGCCTTTGAGGCGCGGGACCGGAACCTCCTGGAGGACAACCTGTGGAGGGTCTCGTTCTGGTCGTGTGCCAGCGTGCTGGTGATGCTGTGTGTGGCCGTAACCCAGGTGACGACTCGTTAATTCACCGCATTTTGACCAGATGTCACAAAATGAAACTTTCTTTACTGGTCTTAGACTTTGCATTGTTACGCAATTATCGACGTAATACTTAAAAATGTTAAAAATAGTCTCCAAACAACAGCAATGTAGTCCATGGGAGTCGTTTCTGCGACAATTTATCGTCCATCCAAATATATATATTTATGTGTAATTCATCAATATATTTATATATATTTATATATATAAAAATGAAGAAATAAAATAAAAATTGGATCATTTATTTGTAACTACAGCCAGCAGTGCATCTCTAGTACTGACCTGATTAAATATGCATTTAACTAAAACGTTTATATTTTAATTTACTGACGTCATTTTGTACAAATCTTTTATTTGGGGAGCTTTTTCTCCAAGAACCTGCCGCATTGAACCCCAGCAATGTGAAGGCCGATGCGTTTTCACTGATTTCTGCGCTTGTTTCCTTCCCGCAGGTCTACACCGTTCGCAAACTGTTTGACGACAAGCGGAGAGTCTGCACATAGAGGAACAGACTGTGAGCAATGATGACGTTTCATTAAGTCACAAAGCGTAACCAGAAGGTGAAAGAGGTATGACAGTGTGGAAGTCGGGTCAATTCATTTCGTTTAGTGCCTTCAAAGCCACGTCTGGCCGCAGACCAATAAGGAAATGCGCGTCAGTGCGGTCCTGCGCCTCTCAAACAGGACAAAGGGGTCGGGATTTTTCGGTAAAGGTCGACGGTTCGCCTAGCCGCCACGTTGCTGCTTCAGAGGGTAATAAGGTGCAATAGTGCTGACTCTGCAGCTACGTTTGTTGTAGTTGATTCTGGTGTTTTTCTTTTAAGGGTCCTGTTTAATTAAAGTCACATTTGTTTATCTTTTGCCGCGTGTGGGAAGGAGGGAAACTTTCACAAACTGACTGCCAGCCTCTGCCGTAGACGTGTGAACAACGTAAAACACTCCGACTGCGTTTGCGTGTTTAACTTCAATCATGTGTTTTTCTTTCTTTCAGATGACAAAAAGTGTCTTTTTTGTTCACGCAGAAACATTTTATGTTTTCATGTTATGTAAGATGTAATAAATCAGCTTCTAGTGAAAGACGTCCATGACAATAAAAGCATTGTTTTACACTGAAAGAACGCAGAACTGAGCGGTTTTTGCTTTTCGCCGTATAAAAGTTGGTATGAAAGCATTTAAAACGTTCTCCGGCACTGAACAGGAAGCTCTGACTCAAAAAAAGTTCTGCAAATTAATAATTCATGGTGATTAGCACCATGAATTATTAATTTTCATGGTGCTAATCACTATAAGCAACCTGATAACAGATAGTTTTTTTATGCATTAAAACACATGCAAAGTTGACAATTTGAATGGACTTTTTTAAATACAGTTTTGCTGTCAAAGTGCCATGATTTACCAAATGACACTTGATGTCAACAGTCGTAAATATTCACAAAGACTCCTTCATGTTCATGACGGGCGTTATGTCACGTTCATGTCGTCACCCTGTCAAATAAAGTGTTACCGACATCTTCAATGTTGTACATATCAATTTATCATCTAATTTCATGTATGCCATTTATTTTCACAAATGTTTTGGAGCGCTTGTGGGTAAATCCAGCTGAATTTTTCCCACTTAAACATCTTATTTGCATCGCCTGAATATTCCCCCAGGCCGTCTCGAAGTTCTGCAGAAACCCAAGTCTTTGATCAGGTGTTTTTCGACCTTGAAAGCATCTAAAAAAATGTATATATGCAACACGAAACCTCTTGGGGGCTGTAATTACCAACGACCTGGCAGTCAATTATCACTACCACATAGTTTGACCCCAAACATCTGAGCAGTATTTATTTAGCCACAGAAAATGATTACAGTATATACAGCGCATATTTACTGTTGATATTACCATACATACACAGCAAATCAGGGTTTCTCGATTCTGTTTTAGGTTTCTGTAGGAAATTCTTGATATCTGTAATCTTCTTCAACCAAATGATCTTCCAGCAACTACCAAAAAAGAAAGCAAAAAGAAAAATTGAGTTCTTCCAGCAGAATCCTGCTGCTGATTCTTTGTGGCCGGGTCGGAGGTTTCTTCACATGGGGTTCGGACGAGAAGGAGCCTGTGGCGGCCGCCTGTGTGAGACAACCATGAACATAAACGCCTCCGGTTAGTTTCTGGTTCTGTTGAAAGCCAAACCTCACTGGACAGAAAGCATTCACACCGAGATCTTCTCCAACGTCTGGGAAGAGCGTTGGAGGAAAAAAACCCAAATCATTTCAAATGATCAGCATCACTGACAGCATTAACATAAACCTGCCGGAAGTGTGAGAGATGATCTGAAATATTCTGTAATGAAAGCTAAAACCAGAATTTAATGGGAGAAAACAGAAAACTAACACTTAGAATATTCAAGGGGCTCAAAAAAGATCTACAGTAAAAGCAATAATTACACTCTTACACTCACAAACTTAAAGCTTTCTCTCCAAATTAAAAATGCATAGCTTCCTCATTAATTTATTTTTTATTGATATGCTCCAAATCTTCCAGGTTGGAAAGGCTTCTCATTGTCTGACATAAAAAGAAATCAAATTTGGTGAATATTTTTATTTACGATATTTTAGCTTATTATGGTTCCAAAAGTTTGTCAGATATTCAAAACGGT